TTTGAAGCCATTCCCCCTTGTCCCATCGCTACATACCCCAGTAAAAAGTCCACCCCCAGCTCTCCTGGAGCCCCTTTAGGTACTGGAAGGCCACAATAAGATCTCCCCGGAGCCTTCTCTTCTCCAGGCTGAACAACCCCAACTCTCTCAGCCTCTCCTCATAGGAGAGGTTTTAAACTGGAAGAGGGCAGACTTAGAATAAATATCAGGAAGAAATACGGTGGTGAGGGTGGTGAGCCCCTGGGGCAGGTTGCCCCGAGAAGCTGTGGCTGCCCCATCCCTGGAGGTGGTCAAGGCCAGGTTGGACGGGGCTTGGAGCAACCTGGGCTGGTGGGAGGTGTCCCTGCCCAGGGCAGGGAGGTGGAACGAGATGAGCTTTAAGGTCCCTCCCAACGTAAACCATTCTCTGATTTCATCCCTGAACAGCCCCTGTACCCGCAGCATTCCCCGTGGGCACCTCGCACTCTGGGCAGGGTGGAAATAAAACCCTTCCCCACAGCGGTGCTCGTCCTCCCCCTGCTCCCCGCTTCCAAACCCAACGCGTGGGGGGGAAACACACCGCTCACCCCCAGCCCAGAGAGGACCAAAGCACTCAGGACACTTTCACTGCAAATTCCTTTAACTGATTGGGTTTGTTTACTAAATAAAACAAGACAGAAAACAGTCAGCCACTGCTTTATTTTGGCAAGCGCTTTCCTTCCCCAAGGCCAGGGAGTTTCAGCTCGTGGCTACCGTGGGCTCGGCTTTTCCACAAGTAATCATTGCTTTGCTTCCAGTTACCCCACTAAGTCTCTGCAGCCGAGTTGAAAGCAACCTGGTTCTCCATTATGCCCAAATTATTATCTTTTAGAGTAAAGCACTTTCTAATCTTAGATGGTTTCCAACAAAGGCAATTTGCAGTTAAACCCCGGTATTATCCGTAACAGGATACAAAGCATCAGGGATGGAGACTGATCATCATCCAGAACTGACTCATCATCACTCAAAGCTGACTTTTAAAACTAAACCAAACTTTGTTATTGTCTACACTTACTTGGGCATTGGATTAATTTCTTGGACAACAGACCTTTATTTTAAATAAAATAATCAATTCACTTTGTATAGCCCACCAATACCAACAGTAATTTTGTCTGAATAACTCTTAAATTAATATTAGTTATTGAGGCAAATTGTACATGTGCTTAATGATGGTTTCTGTAAAAAAATATTTGTGTAATACTATAGCGTTATAGTGTACAGGAGGAACAAACCAAGCTTTTATGGCAAGAATTCTCCTCCATAATTCTACCCACAGTTTAGAAAACCTCTCACCCCCTTCAGCAGAAGTATTACATCTCTACCAAGAAAAATAATAAAGCAATACAGAAATGATGTGTGCGAGTGCCGTGGGCACGAACTCAGTACCAGCCTTGCGGTTTCGTTATCCTAAAGATGTTAATGACCACCTTTACACTGACTAAATACTAGGAGAAGGGTGCTAGGTCTTGCCCGCAGGGATAGCTGTGAAGGGGTGACTTCGGTGGACTTGGCAGAGCCGAGCTGTAACTTGGGAGAGGATTTAGCCCTCGGTGGCTCCTTTTTGCTTTTAAAGAAGAGAGGTGTAAACGCTGTGAGAGCAATACTGCGCTCCCCATCAAACCAAACAGAACTTCACATTGTCCAGGTCTTTAAGAGACCTGACCTACCTTAAGACATGATTTCTGCTATGGACCTTACACAAACACCACGTCCCCAGAAAACCTCGCACCAGAGAAAGGAATTTAATTTTCCCAAAGTCACTTTTCTGCCACTCCGTGGAGAGCCCCACAGAACAGCCGCGACAAGAGTGATCCTGATCTAGGTTTCAGAAGTGCTCACCCCTTCACAGAATCACAGAATGGTCAGGGTTGGAAGGGACCTCTGGAGATCATCTAGTCCAACCCCCCCGCCAGAGCAGGGTCACTACAACAGATTGCACAGGACAGCGTCCAGGCGGGTTTGGAATGTCTCCAGAGTGGGAGACTC